TTTTTTTTATTTTGTAGCCGGAGAGACAATCAATCACCAACTTAATCCTTCGTGGTTTTGAAGCTCAGAAGAAAGCATTCACGCTCAGTGAGGCTGTGATGTTATGGTTCAGGGTCGTTTTGTTCTATACTGCATCAGTGAAGTCCTCTCTGTGAAAGTTAGAGCACCAGGCTCATCTCGCACGCCCTTGCAGAGTGTTAGCTGCTGAACAGACTAGCCGTACGAAATGTTAACGTGTTAATCCTGGGCATCTGGTGGAGTGTAGTTCCTCCAGGTTTAATTAATACTAACCTCCAGCTGGATGCTGGAGTTTAGGGCCTTATTTCCAAACCCAGGTGGCAGAAAACTTGGAAACTTTACAAACAAACTCAGATTTTCAGGCCCACCTCAGACCCACGGAATCAGAACCCTCGGAGTGAGGTCCTGAATCAGTGTTTTGTTTTGACTTTTTAAATAATATTTTTTGTTGGTGGTGTGAATATACACAGGAAAACATACACCAATCCTGCAGGTTCTTCCTGTTGGGCTTGTGTTTTTTAAATCAGTCAGGTGATTCCAGTTGTGTGGGAACCATTGTTGTAGGGAATACAAAGGTGAATAAGTCTCCGCCTTTGCTTTCTAAGAGTTTAATTCTGAATGCAAGTGATTGTAATTAAAGGTACTACCAGTTGTCCTCTTCCAACCCATGGTGAACCCATGTGTGTCAGAGGAGAACTGTGCTCCACAGGGTTTTCAAGGCTATGACCTTTTCGAAGCAGATTGCCAGGCCTTTCTTTCAAGGTGCCTTTGGGTGAGTTGGAACCCCTAACCCTTGGGTTAACCATTTGCACTGCCCACTAGCAGAAGTTCATGACTGAGAAATGCTCTCTACCCTGAGGAGTGATCTTTGTTGTCCCGTGAGGGAGACATTGGCGTGAGGCAGCATTTGAATTGGACCTCTGAGGATGGGTAGACCAGAGGCTGACAGGCGGGGGAGTAGGGATCTAGATAAGGGAACAAGTACTCGAAGGGGGATGCCAAGGTCTCTAGTTTGCCTGAACAGCATACCAGTGTGTGTGGGGTGGGGGGAGTTTGGGGTTCAAAAGGGCTCGTCCTGCCCTTCTCAGGGCCTCCGTTTGGGCTTTTCACATGTGCACTGCCCGTCTGTATCGGGTCGTTTTGGAATTTATGTTTTTCCCAGTGATGCACCGTTATTTCTCCCCGCTGACCGTTCTGATGGTATGGAAGTATCCAGATAGCTGGTCCTTGAGTTTGTGACCTTCATTTTAAAGATAACCTCAGTTCTGGTTTTATTTTGGGTAGAAACTTTGGCTTTATGTGGGGCCTTGGTGATGCAGTGGTCAAGTGTTTGGCTGCTAACCAAAAGATCAGCAGTTTGAATCCACCAGCCACTCCTTGGAAACTCTGTGGGCAGTTCAACTCTTTCGTATAGGGTCGCTGTGAGTCGGAATCGACAATGGGTTAGGTTTTTTTTTTTTTTTTTTTATGTGTGCAGTCTTTTTATGCTGTTGATGGAGTATGATTTTTATTTGAATATGTTTGGGTAGTTGCCCTGGTGGCGTAGTGGTTAAGTGCTTGGCTGCTAACAGAAGGGTTAGAGATTTGAACTCAACCGGCTGCTCCACGGGAGAAAGATGTGGCACTCTGCTTCTGTAAAGATTACAGCCTCGGAAACCCTATGGGGCAGTTCTTCTCTGTCCTGTAGGGCCGCTATGAGTCGGAATCGACTCAGTGGCACTGGCTGTGTTTGGATTCACAAGTGTGCCTGCTGACCTATTGTTTTTTATGTGAAATTAATTTGGGTCTGCTCAGGGAAGGCGCCCTTGAGATGGTACCACCAAAAACCAGTTGGCTGCCGAGTTGATGCCAACTCATGTGACCAACGTGTGTCAGAGTAGAAAGAGCACCATAGGGTTTTCAACGATTTTTCAGAAGTAGATCTCCAGGCCTTTCTTCTGAGGTGCCTCTGGGTGGACTCGAACCTTGGTTAGCAGCTGAGCGCGTTAACCATTTGCACCACCCAGGGACCCCTGAGATGGTACAGGACCTGACGGTTCTAAGTCTTACAAGTTATCCGTTAGCAGCCTGTAGCCAGATACAGTGGGGAGAGCACATCCTGCCGCTGTCTCCAGCCTCAAGCTCCCAGCCTTGGCCCAGATGACAGGATGCCAGGGGTCGTTGCCACCTGCAAGCTCTGAGGGCACTGGCAGTCACAGGTCCTGCCCGGCTGAGTGTCTTTAAAACGAAGAGGGCATGCTTTCTGGTATCATAACTGACAGAATTGGGATCCAGAGTTACCTTAACAGGCAGTTAGCTAAGATGAGATTTAATAGGTTAAAAAAAAGTCATTTGAACAAGAACAGAATCTGATGTCCTGTTCTTGAGAAAGTACTGTGATTTTATTTATTTATACACCATATTTCATTTCAGAAAATTAATCATATCAGTTGATAAATTGATAAAACTAAAAATGGCATAAATGAAAGGTTGGCTACATAAAGCAGATGGCAGGATGACACTAAACTGCACCGTCTCACGTGACCCCCCACTTCACGTGTGAGTGCCCCAATTTCCAAGCTAACGAGGGAATAATGAAAAAACAACAAAACTAGTCATTTTCACTGTCCCCGAAAAGAGTTGTTCAGGAAATGCAATCAGACCGGTTTCAAATTCCAGCCTTGTGTCTTCTGTAATTAGTGGCGGCACCTCCTTCTGTTCCCGTAAGGATGGAATCGTATCCACGTCAGCTGCTCCGCATGGCGTGGAGCGCATAGTTATCACCTCGGAACTGGTGGCCATGATCATACGAGCTGTTCATTTGAAGAGCTGTTTAAAGGAAACAAAATGCAGTCCTAAATGGATTTTGTGGAAACACAGTGTCCACAGGGAGGAAATGCTGGCCTGCTCAGACCACAGCAAGTGTATTTTGTTTTGTTTTAAAAGTGACACTGAGGTTCCTAACCCGAGCCTCTTAATCTTTATGGTCTGAAGAAAAAATGTAGAAAGAATGCATTAAATATTTTTAGGTATTGTGCTAAATTAGTAGTTTTCATCCCAGTACTTACGGGTTTTGAAGCTTGAGTGAATCAAGTTTTTAAAATATATATAGCTTACCTAAAAGAGGAATGTGTTTGTTCATATCAGACAGAAATGGAACTTCTCTGTTGTCATACCCTTAAAAGTGCTGGCTTAAGCGTTTTTAAGACTGACAGTTTGTATTTGGCAATCCAAACACAATACAGGTGTCGTGATTTAGAATTGCTTCGGCAGTAACTTGGTTTGAGCTTTACAGGGTGGTTCTTTCACTTCTTTGGTTGCTATAGTAAGTACAAGGAGCCCTGGTGACACAGTGGTTAAGTGCTCAACTGCTAACCAAAAGGTCAGCAGTTTAGAGCCTAGCTGCTCTGCAGGAGAAGGGTGTGACGGTCTGTTTCGGTAAAGGTTACAGCCTTAGAAGCCCTGTGGGGCAGCTCTTCTCTGTCCTGTAGGGTTGCTATCAGTTGGAGTTGACTTGATGGCGGTGGGTTTGGGTTGTTCATCGTAAGTACGCTTTAAAACTGATTGTCGGCTCTCAAAGACCAGGTGAATATTTGCTTGTCCGAGCCATCTTAAAAATATTTCTTTAAAAAAAATTTACATATCTCAGTGTAAAATAAAGGTTAAGGTAGTAGAAGAAAACTTAGAACAATTATAAAACTTCAAAGTTAAGCAAGAAAAAATTCAAGTCATAAAAAAATTAAAATCGGTGTAACCATGAAAAAATCACAGATTTCTGCAGGACAAAAGATACCACAAGGTGAAAGACAAACTAAGAGAAAATACCCGCAATACACTGGACTAAGTTAGTTTGGACATGTTAACGGGGGGACCAGTCCCTGGACAAGGACATCATGCCTGGTAAAGGGTCAGCAAAAAAGAGGAAGACCCTCAGCGAGATGGATGGACACAGTGGCTGCAACAATGGTTAAGCATGATTTTGAGGATGGCGCAGGACCAGGCAGTGTTCTGTTCTGTTGTAGACAGAGTCTCTATGAGTTGGAACTGACTCAACGGCACCTAACAAGAAGTTAACATCCCTAATAAGCAAAAGGCTTATGCACGTTAATAAGAAAAAGCCAATGAAAAGTGGTCCGAGGCTGCATCCTGTCAGCTCACAGAGGAAGTACGAACGGCCATCAACAGGAACAAGCTCCACTTCCCTAGTCCCCGAGGAAAGAAATATCAAAATCCCTGAAAGAGCCTTTTTTTTTTTTTTTCCCAAGCCCCATTAGATTAGCAAAAATTGGTAACATGTTGGTGAGGATGTGGAGAAGTGGTTATCTTCATAAAAGTCTTGTGAGTGGGAGTTACTATCATTTTGCG